AGAGCCCGATGCTAGAAGCTGGCCATCTTGTGAGAAGGCGACCGAGTGAACCGAGTCGGAATGGCCCTCTAAGGTTTGCAATTCCGGACTCCAATTCTCCTCCACTCTTGGGCCTCTGGATAACCAATCGGGAAGCTCTCTCGCAAAATTCGTCCTGATTAACGACCTTTGTGGTGCAAAAATCAAGCCAGAGCTGTACAGCTGCAGCGGTGCCACGTCAACAATATTTATAAACTTGTAGATATACCTGCGAGCATCCGAGAGAAATAAAGATATAGAAGTTTTTGATGTATCCTATATTCGACCAACGTTACTCACTTCGCTGCGCACACATTCGGAAGAGAGCTCACCTTTATTAATTTAAGTAATGTATCCAGAGAATTACAGCATTCGGATATTAGCCCTGAAATAGCCATTACCTCCAACCAATGAAGGAAGTGCTCTTCCAGAAACACGAGTATCTGGTCAACGATTTGGGCAGGGAGGGAGCTTTGGGCGAGATGGTAAACCCAATAACGGCAGGTGTACTGCAGGACAGGTGGGATACATCTTGCTATGGAGGCAGAATCCATCTCGCTTCGGCTTATTCCGTAACTGGGCAGGTTGCAAATATTCTTTCTAAGCAAACGACGCATAACAGCAAGACATTGTCCAGCTATGAACTCTTGCTTCTTCTTCGTGTCTACCCAGAACCGGAACGTGGACTCTTGGGCTTTCGTACGCTTATCCACCAGATAGTCGTGGAAGGACAGATGGAGAGTTCGTATGGGTAGGTTAGGATTGTCAGGTATGGTCAGAACCGAATGAAACGTGTCTAGCCGGGTGCTGATTTTATCTTCTGGCATCTCGAGAAGTTCCGCAAGAGCACCTAACGAGAGCGGAGTAGCAAGGAGAATAATCACACCAATAGTCTTCTGGAATTCTTCCACCAGCTGATCCCTATCGCTATCATCCTCGGCGAATAGTTGATTCAAAATTGGTCGGTATGTTTTGTCCATCTTGGATCCGGGCGAATCCTCGAAGAATTGCTGCAGTCGTCTTTCTGGGTTCCATCTCTTATCAGCCACAAAACGACACACCGTGGCTGCGAAGATGAACAGTGGAACAGCCATTGCAGCTAGACCGTCAATTCTTGCCGCACCAGGCCAATCGGGAGGTAAATCACGGTGGCGCTTTTGACTGATTCGGCGGAATTCTTTTCTGAGATATAGAGTAATATCATGCCTTATCACCTCATCATCCAAGTTCTGTAAGATCGTATTCTGATAATCGCTTTGATCAATTTTATCAAACCCGAAGCGAATAGGTGACTCTGGTCGACTCGTCAAGAAGAATCGAAGCCTCAGGCATGTTGCCTTCTCGACCTTTGGTAAAAGTTCGAGGATGACTTCCACGTCTTTCTCCCGCTCGCACTCATCTAGGGCGTCGATGACAACCACTGGGGAAGTACTTGATTGGCTCCGATCCACGGCGAGTAACGGCTGCAATATAAGCTTATCGAACTGCTCTCGAAGCGATTTTCTCGCGATCGCAGGATCATCATCTATGGCTTTTCGGATGCCGACGATCATTTGAGGAATGTGGACTGCTAATTGCGCCACAATTGTTGGGAATAACTTGTCAGCTGAGCCCCTGTCTCCCTCGCCTCTTTTGAAAAAGAAAGTTGCCCCGAGGATACCATCTTTCTTAAACGATCGAGCTACTGTTCTTGCAATAGTGGACTTGCCAGTCCCTGCCATTCCACTCAGCCAGAATATGCATTTATCACTTGACCTTCCCCAGTCCTTCACTTGTTGCAGCAATGCTTCTCGCGTTCCAGGAAGACATTCGTCCTCATGTTGGTCTTCAAAAGAGTCAAAAAATGCTCCATCAGCAGAAGGGAGATTCAACATGTCAACGGCTTTGTGCACTTTTTCAATCTCCATCATCAATGTGTCGATCTGAGTCAGAATGGCGTCTGCCTCAGCTTTCCGGTGAAGATGCTGATCAAGGAGCAGCCAGTGATGTAAGTGGGTCTCCTCCCCCTGGATCGAGGTTTTGAGTTGTGCGAGTTGCTGGCTTGCTACAGCCGCTATACTCTCCACAATGTGTCTCCCTACGCCAAACTGTTGAGCCCTGCGCACTTCGGCGGAGTATTGTAGTATTGCCACATAGACCCGGATCATCGATTTTTCTTTTTCAACATTTTCGACAGTTATGGTTGCCTCGACTTCACGATAGAATTGGTCTTCAACAAAGGCACAACGAGCCAACAAATCCGCCAGGTGCCCGGAGGAGTCAAGCAGGGCGTCCCGTAGGTCCGCATGGTTCTTGGCCATCTAGGTTATTAGCTCATGTTTGGTTTTCTCAGCGAGATGACCTACTGTCAATCCGAGAGAGACTATCGCCCAAGCACTTGAAGCGTACCCGGTCGGGTCGAATTTCCCTACATTGTTAACAACATCCTGAAAGGAAAGCACACAGTTTAATATTTTATGGGCTGTTTCCCGAGTGTTATTCTTTCTTGGATCCTCCTTATACTGGGTCTCTGTCGCCTTGACTACCTGGTCAAGTATCTCTCTAGTCCGTGCTCGACCAGCATCCTGAGGCTCGGTTGTCATCACAGGGAGGATTGTTGTTAGAGTGTTCCGGTCACCCTCGCTTAGCGCGTCGTACGCCGCCTTCCAGTGATCTCTTGCATTGTAGTCTTTAGTTTTAGAATTACCAGCGTCGCGCTTGGCTGAGCCGCTGGGCGGGGTGGTGAGCGCTGGCGTGCTGGGATCTGGAAAAGTCGAAAGAGTACCTTTGTCGTTGCTTCGTCCTGTCAAGGCATTCTTTAAGCATCCGAATACGCTGCGCATCGTTCTGTGGGCCGGACCGGTACGAGGATCAGCCATCGTCAAACGAGGAGATCGCTTTGTGATGACAGGTCGAGGAATTAGCTAGTGAAATCGTGAAGCCAAGTTGGGCGCTAAAAGGAGGGGAAGTACCTTCCTTATGTAGGCCCTGAGAGGTTGGAGGCTGTGCAAGTGACAGGGGTTGTGGTCGTCAGCCAGCCACGGCCTGCAAAGCGGCCTGTTCAACGGGCCATACTCTTCCCTCGCTCGCGTTGACGTTCGCGGGT